TCTTCTATCCCCCTAAACCCTAAACCCTAAACCGTGGTAGCAAGAGTTCTATAAGGGCTTGAGATGAGTTCTATGAGGGCTTGAGAGGAAGGATTTTGGGGCCTTTTCGCGGCCGCGGGCCTTGGTTTCAGGGTTTATGTAGGTCAGGGCTTTGGGTGGCCCGAACCTACGCCCCAAAACCGATAGAAAGACGAAGCCCTACATCTTAGTTCTCCAAACCCTAGACTCTAAATCCTGAGTCCTAAACGCTAAGCCCCAGACTCCAAGCTCCAAGCCCTAAGCACCACCGGTTTAGGGTTTAGGGTTTAGGGTTTAGGGTTAGGGTTTAGGGTTTAGGGAGAAAAAGCCCTTACTTCCCCCCGAGACCTGGTTGAATGGCCGGGCGCTGATCGCGGGACGCCTCGGCGTGGCTGCTGGCCACGGCGGTGCGCAGATCCCGGTGCCTCGGCGGGGTTTGCTATTTTGGGGTTCTCTGATCAGGGTGTTAGGGATTGGGATTAGGGAATTTTAGGCTTTGTTCCGAGACCTGCAATGAGACTCCCGCCACACCCTCTGCTGGGTTTTTGCTTCTACTCCATGTATGACAGTGTGGGTGTCGTAAGCACAAGCTGCACCAGACAGCGCAATGATGTGATGATCTCCTGTAGTATATATGTACTTGATCCGCCCATGTTGACAAAGTGTACGAGGATTGTAGGTGCATATCCGGAGCTGTGCCATTCAAGTAACCGCGTGGGCCGCTTCAAAGGCAAATAATGGAAGGCCTTGTGTCATGTCTGGCTCCCATCTCGCCGTTTCGCCTACTTCCCCAAGCGCTGCCCCTGAAGGATGCTCTCGTGCAAAGAGGCTACACAGACGTAGATACATACAGACATACAGACATGCAGACATACAGCCGGACAGACATGCAGACAGACAAATTGACCGTTAGGCAGCGTCAAAAAATGCAAAAAGACAGAGGTGCATATATATATATATATATGTGTGAAGGTATGTCTGTCTGTCTGTCTGTCTGTCTGTCTGTATGTATGTATGTATGTATGTATGTATGTATGTATTAGCAACTATTTGAAAATACACGACGATTAATACATGTGCACAGGTTCAATCAAGGATAGACATACGTCTAAACCGAGACGTAAACATTAAGTTTCAAGTGTAAAAATTATCCATAATATGAACGAACATAAAATACTTGAACACAAAGTAAGTATAAATAAACAGATATACATACATATAGATGGACATGGTTACATGTCATGTATGTGTGTACATATACATACATAATCATACAGACATACATCATGCATGCATACATGCATACAT